ATTATAAGTATAGGCATTGTATGGGCATATATTTAATAACATAAGTATTCATGGATTTAGGTTCTACTTAACCAACATTTTGTGAATTTAATCATAATAATATTTTAGGATTTTTATAAAATAATTAAATACTGTTTTATTTAGAATTGAATAAAATTAACTGTGAATTAATTAACAATTTTGTCTTACTAAATGAAATAAAAATGTCGTGATTACCTTCCTTTTCTGTTATTTATAAAAAATATTTGTTACATTTTAACAAACAATTACAGTATATGATTTAAAACTATTTTATTAATACATTTGTTTATTATTTATAATATTTATATACAGTTAGTGATTACTTCCATGCGATTTGAACATTTTGTTTACATTTTGTTGCAAGTTTCTATTTCTCTTTAATACTTTTTTTTTTAATTTCTTTTTTTGGTCGTCCAACTGGCAATCGTTTACTTCCCCTCGTTATACCTGGTCTTCTTCTGCTAATTGTAGTTGGTTGAACAGTTATTGTACCTCGGCTCCTATGTCTCAATGAAATTGAACTTCCAGCTGTTGCAATAAAAGATTCCCATGCTGTTAAAGATTTTACATTATTTAACCTCTGGACACATTTGGAAAGAACATGTATCGATGGAGATGGGAATTTTTTAAAATTATCTGTCATTAGGCTTACTATTTGTTCTTTATATTCTTCCGTTAATGTTTCATTTTCAATTACCTCAGTTTCTTCGTATTTTATCTGATTTTCAATAATATTTCTCTCTACATCAACATCAAGCAAATCACAGTGCATACTATTGTTTGTATTAATTGTATTAGACTCTTGAATCAGATTATGACTTTCTGTCGGACTAGGAATTAAAGGCATATAAAATTCATTTGCTTGTGCTTCATTACCAAAAGCTAATTTAGCTAGCAAACATCGTGTTTCATGACATATAGGTGGTAAGCTTGGCATTTTATGGTGGTATAAATTGTAAACAGCAGCTTGATATTTGCAAAATGAACCATATTTTCCCACAGGACATGAACAGTATCCAACAGTCACATTGACTTCATAAAACTCAGGAGAATTTTTTGTTGTACTTGTATAAATCATCATCCATAGCCTCTATCCAATCTTTAGTTATATGTGCTGCACGGTTTAACTGGTCCTGAAACAGCAGTCTTGATTTATCAGATCTTCCATTGACAAAGTTTCTTAAGCGTGTTGTATATACTCTTCATACTTGTACAAATAAAATCGACAAGAGCTATAGCGTGTATGCCTTGTTACGTGATAGCACAATATCTTTGAAATTCTAACATTTACTTCACTGAAGTTATTTGTATGGTGTCCATGCATTGATGCATCTCTGAATGCAAGAACCAAATTTCGTTTCGCTTCCAATAATTGGTAACATCTGATATCCACTGTGGTATTTATTAAATTACTGTTTTTTCATCATTAGAACTATTCCTGCCATAATTTTAAATGATTTTTCAGCTTCTTCTATATGTGATGATATAAACAATTTGAAAATGCTTTGTATAATGCTTTTCTATCATCCTTTAAAATGTCATGTTTTTTTTCAAAAAGCCAACGCCATACGATTGACAATATGAAACGACATAGAAGCGATTTTGATGAGGGCCAAACATGCTTAAGAGCTTGTCTTTAGCTTCACTATCGTCGGTAATAAACTGTTTGGGATATCCTTGGGAAGAAAATGCGAATGGTACAGACTCTTTCAATAGTGTAAAGGCAGCAATGTAATCTTCAGTTGACTGTCCTTTAGTGATCATAAGAGCTAATGGTACAGCTCCTATCCCACAAGCCGTAAGCATAATTGTTACAGAATGCCCATTGGCATCACAGGATGCAGTACTATCCACAAAAGCAATATCCTTAACAAATGGCAATCCGTGAGCACGTTGCATTATCGGAGTAATTACTACTATAGCAAATGGGTATTGTTTATACCTTACAATAATACCATTTTTTGTATATTCTAATATTTTTTCTTCCAATTTCTGAAAATTAAGAATATTTGTCTATTGGTAATTAATATTAGTATTCAATTGGTTTGTAAGCTTCAAATTAATACTACAAATAAGCTGTTAATGGTTAGGCACAATAATTTATTAGTAGGCATGCAATCTAATTTGTGTAGCATAATTAAGTGCACATATTTTTACATTATTCTACTTCAAATATTTATACTTGCATAGGTACTTACTACTTATTACTTAATTAGTAAAATGTGTTTTAGGAGGTACCTATTTTATATCATATTTATATCTTATATTTATATATTTTTTGAAAAATCTTTTACTTTAAATTCAAATTAACTTATTTGTTAAAGTAACATACCATACAATTTTATTTTAGGATAGTAGGTACTACTTAATAACATTTTTAGCCTAAACGATTACAAATAAGTATTTTAGATGATTTGGAAATGTATTTTAATATAATATTTTATATTATGACAATGTAAGCATTTCATATTTCATTACATTAACAATTGTATTTTATTTATAATAAAAATGGTTCCTATATTGAGTTTTTATTTTTTTAAGTTCATAAAAAGTACCATAAAAAATATTATATCCCAATGTTGGTATTATATATATTTAAAAAAATCTACATTTACTTTGACAAACACAAAACTACAAAACCACTGTTGATATTGTAATTTGTGTAAAATACAAAACATATAAAATATATTATATCAGGATTCAAAAACAATTTGTATAACAGATAATTAGATTTGACGATGAGTCATGAGCGTTAAGTTTAAATGCTACACTGGAAAAAAGTAACAATAAAACATTTAAGATAAAATATGCTTGGTGAATCATCCTGTATATAAATATTATATTTCATTCTAAATATTATATTATTATATACCTATGAAACTGTTCCCAGACAGCAAAATTATA